CTGGACAAAAAGCGAAACTCTGTCTCAAAAAAAAAAAACCTATGTTTAAAACAAACAAACCAACAATATATATATGCCAGACATAGTGGCTCACACCTATAATCCCAGCACTCTGGGAGGCTGAGGCAGGAAGACTGCTTGAGTCCAGGATTTCAAGACCAGCCTGGGCAACATAGGGAGATCTTGTGTCCACAAAATAATTTAAAAATTAGCCAGGTGCGGCAAGGCGTGGTGGCTCACACCTGTAATAATCCTAGCTACTCAGGAGGCTGAGGCAGGAGAATCACTTGAGCCCAGGAGGCAGAGGATGCAGAGAGCAGAGATTATGCCACTGTACTCCAGCCTGGGTGACAGAGCAAGACTCTGTCTAGAAAAAAAAAATTAGCCAGGTGTGGTAGTGTGCACCTGCTGTCCCAGGTCCTCAGAAAGCTGAAATGGGAGGATAACTTGAGTCTGGGAGGTTGAGGCTACAGTGAGCCACGATCATAGCACTGTACTCCAGCCCAGGGGACAGAACAAGACCTTGTCTCAAACAACAGTAATAATCATAATCATAAAAATAAATAATATTGCTGGGCGCGGTGGCTCAAGCCTGTAATCCCAGCACTTTGGGAGGCCAAAGCGGGTGGATCACGTGGTCGAGAGATCAAGACCATCCTGGTCAACATGGTGAAACCCTGTCTCTACTAAAAAAATACAAAAAATTAGCTGGGCATGGTGGCACGTGCCTGTAATCCCAGCTACGCAGGAGGCTGAGGCAGGAGAATTGCCTGAACCCAGGAGGCGGAGGTTGCGGTGAGCCGAGATCGCGCCATTGCACTCCAGCCTGGGTAACAAGAGCGAAACTCCGTCTCAAAAAAAAAATAAATAAAAATATATTGAGAAAATTGTCATGTTTGAACAATTAAGTAACAGTCAATAGCAACTGCTATTTCTTAGTTTATTATTAAAACTAGAGCAATTCTGTGGATGCTTCTTCAAACCATAGCCAGGAAAACACAAAAGACCCTCACTCACTGCTGGATTAAAAACTGAAGAACAACAACAACTGCATTAAGGATCTACCATCCCTATACAAGAATACTAATACAATCTAGGATACTCAAGAGTAAGTCATTTCTATTATGAGATATCAAACAAAGTAATAAAGTGTGAAGGGCTTTATTTGCCTACTTGGCTAGGGCAGGAATTAACCTATCTAATTTCAATAACCTTCCCTGATTCACGTAAAGGAGTCCTGGCTGTCCTCATCCCAGAGGCTTGAAATACCAATTAATCTATTTTCTGTTTATTTATTTATTTTTTTTGAGACAGAGTTTCACTCTTGTTACCCAGGCTGGAGCGCAATGGCGCGATCTCGGCTCACCGCAACCTCCGCCTCCTGGGTTCAGGCAATTCTCCTGCCTCAGCCTCCTGAGTAGCTGGGATTACAGGCACACGCCACCATACCCAGCTAATTTTTTGTATTTTTAGTAGAGACGGGGTTTCACCATGTTGACCAGGATGGTCTCGATCTCTTGACCTCATGATCCACCTGCCTCAGCCTCCCAAAGTGCTGGGATTACGGGCTTGAGCCACCGCGCCCGGCCAATTAATCTATTTTCAAAAGGGTTATTTGCAATGACTTTCTTTAGAATTCTTTACTGGCCGGGCACAATGGTTCATCCCTGTAATCCCAGCACTTTGGGAGACAGAGGCAGGCGGATCACTTGAGGTCAGGAGTTTGAGACCAGCCTGGCCAACACAGTGAAACATCGTCTCTGTAAGAAAAAAAAAAAAATTAGCCAGGCATGGTAGTGCATGCCTGTAACCACAGCTACTTAGGAGGCTGAGGAAGGAGAATCGCTTGAAACCAAGAGGCAGAGGTTGCAGTGAGCCAAGATCACACCACTGCACTCCAGCCTGAGCAACAGAGCAAGACTCTATTTCAAAAAACAAAAATAGAATTATCTTTGTACTTTTTCCTTTCCTGAAACTTTATTTCTTCTAACATGAAAAAACAATAATAGAATTATCTATCTTAAGGTTTAATACCAGCACTTTAGGAGGCCAAGACAGGAGTATCACTTGAGTCTAGGAGTCCAAGACCAGCCTGGGCAACACAGTAGGACCCCAATCACTTTGAAATTAAAAAAAAAAATTTTTTTTAATTAGCTGGGCTGGTGGCCTGTGTCTGTAGTCCCAGCTACCCTGGAGGCTGCAGCTTGAGCCCAGGAGGTGGTCGAGGCTGCAGGAAGCAGTGCTCACCTCTCTGCACTCCAGCCTGGGGAACCCAGCGAGACTCTATTTCAAAAAATAAATACAGGCCAGGCATCATGGTTCATGCCTGCAATCCTAGCACTTTGGGAAGCCAAAGCAGGCAGATCACCTGAGGTCAGGAGTTTGAGACCAGCCTGGGCAACACGGTGAAACCCTGTCTCTACTAAAAATACAAAATTAGTCAGGCATGGTGGCACATGCCTGTGGCCTCAGCTACTTGGGAGACTGAGGCAGGAAAATGGATTGAACCGGGAGGTGGAGGTTGCAGTGAGCTGATATGCCACTGCACACCAGAATGGGAAACAAGGGTGAAACTCCATCTTAAAAAATAAAATAAACAAAAATAAATACATAAAAATCGGCCAACTGCAGTGACTCACACCTGTAATCCCAGCATTTTGGGAGACTGAGGTGGGTGGATCACCTGAGGTTAGGAGTTCAAGACCAGCCTGGCCAACATGGTGAAACCTCTTCTCTACTAAAGATACAAAAGCCAGGCACGGTGGCTCAAGCCTGTAATCCCAGCACTTTGGGAGGCCGAGGCGGGTGGATCACGAGGTCAAGAGATCGAGACCATCCTGGTCAACATGGTGAAACCCCGTCTCTACTAAAAATACGAAACATCAGCTGGGCATGGTGGCGCGTGCCTGTAATCCCAGCTACTCAGGAGGCTGAGGCAGGAGAATTGCCTGAACCCAGGAGGCGGAGGTTGCGGTGAGCTGAGATCACGTCATTGCACTCCAGCCTGGGTAACAAGAGTGAAACTCTGTCTCAAAAAAAAAAAAAAAAAAAAAAAAAAAGATACAAAAATAAGCTGGGTGTGGTGGCACACACCTGCAATCCCATCTACTCAGACAGGAGCATTGCTTCAACCTGGGAGGCAGAAGTTGCAGTGAGCCAATACTGTATACCATTGCACTCCAGTCTGGGCAACAGAGTGAGACTTTGTCTCAAAATAAATAAATGAATTAATTAATTAATTAAATTAGATAGTCGGGCATAGTGGCTTAGGGCTCTAAATCGCAGGCACCTGAGAGCCTAGGGCAGGAGGATAGCTTAAGCCAAGAAGTTCGAGCCTGCAGTGAGCTAGGAGCTCTCCACTGTACTCAAGCTTCAGCGACCAAGCAAGACTCCGTCTCTTAAATGAAACAAGCAAACTTTACCTTAAGCTGATTATATCAATGCAGTTTTCCAACAGGAGGACATACACAAAGTTACCCCTATCTAGCCAATTTGATCAAATCCACAGTCCACGCAACTCTGCGGTTTGCAGTAAGAATCTACCACATCTCGCCGGGCGCGGTGGCTCAAGCCTGTAATCCCAGCACTTTGGGAGGCCGAGGCGGGTGGATCACGAGGTCAAGGGATCAAGACCATCCTGCTCAACATGGTGAAACCCCATCTCTACTAAAAATACAAAAAATTAGCTGGGCATGGTGGTTCGTGCCTGTAATCCCAACTACTCAGGAGGCTGAGGCAGGAGAATTGCCTGAACCCAGGAGGCGGAGGTTGCGGTGAGCCGAAATCGCGCCATTGCACTCCAGCCTGGGTAACAAGAGCAAAACTCCGTCCCAAAAAAAAAAAAAAAAAAAAAAAAAAAAAAAAAAAAAAAAAATCTACTACATCTCATCCCCTGGATTCATTCCTTTTTTTTTTTCTTTTAGACAGAGTCCCGCTGTGTTGCCCAGGCTGGTCGCGAAATTCTGGTCTCTAGCGATTCTCCTGCCCCAGCCTCCAGAGTAGTTGGGATTAGAGGCGCGCGCCACCACGCCCAAAATTCATTCCTTTAATTTTGCGAAAAATTAAGTGCCTTCTACAAGCCAATGGGTTTCTGGTTCCTCTATAAAGCAAATTCTTCCACTGAAGGATTTTTCCTTCCAGTTTTTGTTTTAAAAAGGAAAATAAAAGGATGAGGTTGGAGGGAGCAAGGGGAGCTGAGTGGTGGAATGAAGCACTGACTTTTTTTTTTTTTGCAAGCAATCAGTGATGCTCTGTAAGTCACTCTCCTCCGAGATTCGGGAGGTGCATGAACTGCCATTCCACCATTCACCACTGGTTCTTTGGTCCACTGATCACAGATGTGAGCTGTACAGACATCGTAGCAAATTCGATCCCTTCCCGGTTTCCTGGAGAGGGTAGGGGAGAGGGGTCGCTTTTCCTTAAACTCATCCCTCCACCAAGAAAAACGTCTGGAGTTTCGTGCCCTGAAGCCGCCCGGGCGGACGTTTAAAAGTTAAAGAATAACCAAGTTTCTACAGAAACTCCGCCTGGCGCCGAAGCCCCCGTTCTGCCCAGCCGGGGTGCAGAGGTCTGAGGCAGGACGGTTTTGAAAAATGGACTTTGACCCGATCCGGTTACTGTAACCGGATCCCCAGGGAGCAGTCCCCGCCGGGGACGGGCCGAGCAGGCCCCCCAGTGGCGGAGACCCCAAGCACGGGCACAAAGGGGGCGCAACGCAGCCCAGACAAAAGGGCCCAGCCAAGTCTCGGGGGGCGGAGAGGGCGAGCCGGCGCGGGCCCTGCCACCGACGGAGAAGCCCGGGCTGGACCGTTGTGGGAGGGCCGAAGAGGGAGGCGGCGGCCCCGCCCCGCCCTGGCCCGGAGCGTCGGCGACCCGGGCCGTTACTCTCTGCCCGCATCAGGACCCCCTCTCAGAGCCAAAAGCGGGGCCGCAGGCTGAGGGGCGCCCGCAGCCCGACCCTGCGTACGTCCTGCTCACTTTCCCTTGCTCGCTGAACTCACCGAGGTCTCCGCCGCCGCCTCCGCAGCCTCCACAGCAGCCTCTCCCGGAAATCCTACCTGGCCCGTTGGCCGCCAGGCAGCAGCCGGAGCCTTCGGCCCCCGGGGAGGGGGAAATAGGGAACGGGCTTGACAGTGTGGGGTAGGACGTGCGCCGCGGAGGCTCACGGGACTTGTAGTCCCCAGCAGGGACCCGTTGCGCGGTGAGCTGAACAAAATGGCGGGAAGTTTGCGTCCTTTCTCTCCGGTCCGTCGTCCTACTTACGGCTGCTCTGGGCATGCGCTGACCTCTGCCCGCACCTGGTGTGTGCAAGAACTTGGGCACCCTTCCTGGTACTAAGGGAGGCAAAGGTCTCTGGGCTTGGGAGGATAGGATTCAATACAGGGCTCCAGGCAGTACCCAAAAAAGGAACTGATACAAGAGTATTGTTTGAGAAAACTGTGTCCCTGACTGGCCAAATTTCAATCATAATCACCCCCAAAGAAAAACTATTTATTGACCAATTTGAAGTGCAAAAAAACGTAGTAAGCAAGTTATCTACCCTCAGTGTTGTGCGTAAGAAGCCCAAGAATCATTCTGGACACGTCCTTCAAGTGATTTAAGTCCAGTCATCCCACATCCCCAATATTTTAATTCCTTTCTATGTCTTTCACTACCATCACCTAGTGAAAGCCACCATCATTTCTCTCCAAGTCTCAGTAGTTTCAGGCCGCTAGGCTGTCACCCTCCGAAAACCTTTAGCTGGGCATGGTGGCACATACCTGTAATCCCTGCTAGTCGGGAGGCTGAGGCAGGAGAATCGCTTGAACCTGGTAGGCTGAGGGTGCAGTGAGCTGAGATCACGCCATTGCACTCCAGCCTGAGCAAGAGGAAGACTCTGTCTCAAAACAAACAAACAAATATATATATATATATTTACACACATATATAATATATATACAAAAATTAGCCAGGGCTTAGTGTTGTACACCTGTAGTCCCAGCTACTTGGGAGGCTGAGGTAAGAGGATCATTTGAGCCTGGGATGTCGAGATTGCAGTGAGCTGAGATCGCCCCAGTGCACTCCAGCCTGGGCAACAGAGCCAGACCCTGTCGCAATAGAAAAAGAAAAATGAAGGAAAAAAAATTGGCCGGGTGCAGTGGCTCATGCCTGTCATCGAAGCACTTTGGGAGGCCAAGGTGGGAGGATCCCTTGAGCCCAGGAGTTTGAGACCAGCCTGCCAGCCTGGGCAACCGAATGAGATCCCATCTCTACAAAAACAATTTTAAAAATGAGCTGGGCATGGTGGAACGTGCCTGTAGTCCCAGCCACTCAGGGGGCTGAGATGGGAGGATTATTTGAGCCAAGGAGGTCCAGACTGCAGTGAGCTAGGGTGGTACCACTGCACTCCAGCCTGGGTGACAGAGGGAGACCTTGTCTCAAGAATTTTTTTTAAATATAAAATTTTTTTTTGCCAGGCACGGTGGCTCACACATGTAATCCCAGCACTTTGGGAGGTTGAGGCAGGTGGGTCACCTGAGGTTAGGAGTTCACACCAACCTGACCAACATGGTGAAACCCCATCTCTATTAAAAATACAAAAATTTGTTGGGCATAGTGGCCCATGCCTGTAATCCCAGCTACTCAGGAGGCTGAGGCAGGAGAATCGCTTGAACCCAAGAGGCAGAGGTTGCAGTGAGCTCAGATCACGCCATTGCACTCCAGCCTTGGTGACAAGAGGGAAACTCAGTCTCAAAAATAAAATTAAATTAAAATTAAAAATATATTTTTTAAATTAATAGGCTAGACATGATAACTCATGCCTGTAATCCCAGCACTGTGGAAAGCAAAGGGTGGAGGACTGGTTGAGACCATGAGTTCAAGACCAGCCTGGGCAAAATAGTGAGACTCCATCTCTGAAATATAAATAAACAAAAAAATTTAAAAAAAAAATGTGCTGGGCTTGGTGGCTCATGTCTAATCCCAGCACTTTGGGAGGCTGAGGCAGGTAGATTACAAGGTTAGGTGTTGGAGACCAGCCTGGCCAACACAGTGAAACCTCGTCTCTACTAAAAATACAAAATTAGCCGGATGTGGTGGCACACACCTGTAGTCCCAGCTACTCGGGAGGCTGACACAAGAGAATCGCTTGAATCTGGGAGGTGGAGGTTACAGTGAGCTGAGCCCACGCCACTGCACTCCAGCCTGGGTAACATGACAGAGTGAGACTCTATCTTAAAAAAAAAAAAAAAAGGAAAGAAAAAAGAAAAGACAAAAATTTAATAAATGGTATGTTATCAAAATTTCAAACTTTACTCGTCTGTTTAAAAAAAATGAGAACTGGCCAGGCGCAGTGGCTCATGCCTGTAATCCTAACACTTTGGGAGGACAAGGTGGGCGGATCACCTGAGGTGAAGAGTTCAGGACCAACCTGACCAACATGGAGAAACCCTCATCTCTACTAAAAATACAAACATTGGCCGGGTGTGGTGGCGCATGCCTGTAATCCCAGCCACTCGGGAGGCTGAGGCAGGAGAATTGCTTGAACCTGGGAGTTGGAGGTTGCAGTGAACCAAGATCCTGCCATTGCACTCCAGCCTGGGCAACAAGAGCAACACTTCATCTCAAAAAAAAAAAAAAAAAGAAAGAAAGAAAGAAAGTAAATGAAGACAAGCCAGTGGCCAGCAGCCGGGAGCAAATGACTCATGCCTGTAATCCTAGCATTTTCAGAGGCCAAGGTAGGTGGATTAGCTGACGTCAGGAGTTCGCGGGAGTTCGAGCCAGCCTGGCCAACATGATGAAACCCCGTCTCTACTAAAAAAAAAAAAAAAAAAAAAAAAAAAAAAAAAAAAAATTAGCTGGGTGTGGAGTGCATGCCTGTAATCCCAGCTACTTGGGAGCCTGAGGCAGGAGAATCACTTGAATCTGGGAAGTGGAGGTTGCACTGAGCGGAGATCACGCCATTGCACTGCAGCCCGGGCAACAAGAGCAAAACTCTGTCTCAAAAAAAATCAAAATAAAAAAAGAAAGAAAAAGAAAATGAAGACAAGCCACAGATCAGAGTAAAATTTTTGCAGAGCATATAACCAATATCTGGAAATATACAAAGAGTTATTTCAACTCAACAAGAAGACAACCCAATTTAAAAAAAGATTAGTGTACATAATTTACCAAAGAAGAAAAACTAAACAGATGGCAAATAACATGAAAGATGTTAGGGGGAATAAAAAGGAAACACAATGAGATCATACTACACGCCACTGGAATGGCTAAAAGGACTGGCAATACCAAGTATTAGAACGAATGTAGAGCAATGAGAATTCTCATACACTGATGGTAGCATTTTAAAATGATAAAACCACTTTGGAAACTGGTTCGACAGGTTTTTTCTTTCTTTTTTTTTGTATCCTGATTGTGGTTATGGTTTCAAGGGTGTATAGTTATGGTTTCAAGTGTGTATAAATATATCAAAACTCATTAGGGCGGGGCACAGTGGCTCATGCCTGTAATCCCAGAACTTTGGGAGGCCCAGGCAGGTGGATCGCTTGAGCTCACTAGTTCAAGACCAGCCTGACAATATGGCAAAACCCTATCTCTACAAAAAAAATACAAAAATTAGTCAGGTATGGTGATGGGCACCTGTAGTCCCAGCTACTTGGGAGACTTAGTTGGGAGGATGACTTGAGCCTGGGAGGTGGAGGTTGCTATGAGTTGAGATCATGCCACTACATACCAGCTTGGGCAACAGACCAAGACCCTGTCTCAAAAAGAAAGTGCGGTTTATTGCTTATCAATTATACTTCACTAAATATGAAAAATAATATAGTAGAAAAAGTGTTTAAAAGAAAGAAAATTCTTCAATGGCTTTCCAGTACCCTCAGGAAAAACAAGAAAATTATTTTGCCACAGAAACTCTATTGTAGGCTGGGTGCAGTGGCTCATGCCTGTAATCCCATCACTTTGGGAGGCTGAGGCAGGTGGATCACCTGAGGTCAGGAGTTCAAAACCAGCCTGACCAACATGGTGAAACCTCATCTCTACTAAAAATACAAAAATTAGCTTGGTGTTGTGGCAGGTGCCTGTAATTACAGTTAATCAGGAGGCTGAGGCAGGAGAATTGCTTGAACCTGGGAGCCAGAGGTTGCAGTGAACTGAGATCTCACACCACTTATTTCTCAAAAACAAAAAAACAAAAAAACTGAAACTCAATTGTAGAGTTTTAATATCATTAATGGTTTCAGGGAAGAGGACTAATTGATGGTAACTTGAAATCCTAGGTAATAATAACAGTGGGAACAGTAGTAGCAGTAATAGTAGCATAAAAATAAAATAATAAAACTTATATTTTCTCTTGAATACCTACGATATTTCAGATATTTTACATACAACTTAATTAAGATTCCATCCAGAGGCCAGGCACAGTGGCTCATGCCTCCAGTGCTGGAACTAGTCTGAGCACTTTGGGAGGCCAAGGCAGGTGGATCACAAGGTTAGGAGTTCAAAACCAGCCTGGCCAAGATGGTGAAACTCCCTTCGCTACTAAAAATACAAAAAAAAAATTAGCCAGGCGTGATGGCAGGTACCTGTAATGCCATCTACTCAGGAGGCTGAGGCAGAGAATTGCTTGAACCCAGGAGACAGAGGTTGCAGTGAGCTGAGATTGTGTCACTGAGCTCCAGCCTGGGTGACAGAATGACTCCATCTCAAAAAAAAAAAAAACAAAAAAAAACAAAACATCCAGAGGCTGGGCTTGGTTGCTCACCAGCACTTTGGGAGGCTAAGGCCTATGGATCACCTGAGGTAAGGAGTTCGAGACCAGCCTGGCCCACATGGTGAAACCCCATCTCTACTTTAAAAAAAAAAAAAAAAAATTGCTGGGCACGGTGGCAGGCCCCAGTAATCCCAGCTACTTTGGAGGCTGAGGTAATTGCTTGAACCCAGAAGGCAGAGGTTGCAGTGAGCCAAGATCGCGCCATTGCACTCCAGCCTGGGCAACAAGAGGGAAACTCCATTTCAGAAAAAAAAAAAAAAAAAAAAAAAAAAAAAAAAAAAAAAAAAAAGGCCGGGCACAGTGGCTCAGGCCTGTAATCCCAGCACTTTGGGAGGCCAAGGTGGGCGGATCACCTCAGGTCAGGAGTTCAAGATCAGCCTGACCAACATGGAGAAACCTTGTCTCTACTGAAAATACGAAATTAGCCAGGTGTGGTGGTGCATGCCTGTAATCCCAGCTACTTGTGGGGTTGAGGCAGGAGAATTGCTT